ATATATACACTCGCCACTGAGGAAGGACTAGTATTGTCTGGCTGTTTACTTACGTTTACTTTGATGCTAAATAGAAGCAGCCCATGATATTACTAACAATAATAATAATAATAATAATAATAATAATAATAATAATAATAATAATAATAATAATAATAATAATAATAATAGTCGTAATACAATTAAAATGATTGGGGGTGGTGGAAAAAAAGCAGTAAAACACTTTGAAATACAAAGCGAGGCTTAACAACATATGTAATAAAAGTAAAAAAAGAAAAAAAAATGCAAAATAATGATAATAATAATAATAAACATTAAAGGGGGGGGGGGAAGTAGCAATGGGAATATTGCATTTGCCAATGGGGACAATGCAGGAAATTATAACTGGGGGGGGGAGGAAGCATTAAGGGTCGTTTGCCGTTGTAAATGCTGTTGAGAAACCACTTCGGTGGAGGTAGACACGTGACAAAGAATATGGAATCGCGGCTCCAATATTGTGAGAGCAAGGAGGTTTTAATTGTATTTTTTGTCAAGTGGGATGAGGCCTATCATATGAGGCATTCCTCCCTGGAGCGCCGCTGATCATAATCCTGCCATAAGCGCTGGCGAAATCCTCAGCACTGACGGGACTATAACATTACAGTAGTATACACAAGGCCACCGTGTGGATAACCACTCCAAACATACACACTGCATCGCCATTTTTCGCTTATGAAATCACGCCCTACAGACTGACGAAAGTCTGTACAATAACTGTACACTACTGTTACAAAGGTACACATTTTCTTTGCATTTCATATTTTAAAATACATTTATGCCTATTAGGCAAATTGCGCTTAATAGGTGAAATCATGTTATTTGTTAAATCACTTTAATGGTACAAAATTAGTTAGGTCTTTTCTAAGCCTAGCTGCTACACATGCCTACTACCTAGCTAGGACGACCAAAGAGGTGCTGGCTCAGCCAGAGTCTGAGGGATGAGGTAAAAGAGAAGTAGGTGAGCGATGGTGCCTAGGGCTTTACTAACAAGGGCCTGGAGCAGGAAGAGGATAGAACACGCGCCGATGGCATGTCATCTCAGATAGGTCCAAGTAACCATAATTCGAGTCATAGCATAGAGCTGCTTCATATATTTTTTTTTCTATTTTTGATAGCCAGCAGAGAAATCAATTCAAAATGACTTAATAATAATAGTGAGCAGTTCCAGTGACAGTGTGTGAGTGGCCACTTTTGTGTGTACATGTAGTAGCAAAGAGTATAAATAGAACAAGAGAGCAAAGCCCCGTTCGTAAAAAAGTCACGCCTGTGTAGGACGCCCTCTAACGGTTGTATGTTCTTTTTATTACCCAGTGCAGCGCTGCGCAGCGCGGTAGAAGTAGGCCCGCTATAATAAACTCAGAAAGCAGAAAACAAAAGTACAGTATCTTGGCCTTGCGGAGAACAGATAAACAGACAAACCGACCGTGCGCGGTGGAGTACCGGGTAATAAAAAACATACAAGCGTTAGTTGGCGTCCTACACTAGCTGCATAGGGCGTATCGTTTTTTTACACTCTCAATGAGCGTTGTTGGCTCTCTTGTTCTATTTATACTCTTTGGTAGTAGCGTACAGTGCATAGGTTGGAGGATTGGAAGTGCCAGCGCAAGTAGCGGGTCAGAGGGTAACTTCCCTTCCCTGGTCGGAAAAAAATTAATTTGCTTGTCCAATTTTGATTCCCAGTTTCTCTAATAATACTTGTGGTCTAGGTCTAAAACACATTTTTAAGTCATACTAATGAAGCTATAATAAAACTCTACCAACCAACCAGGAATTTCTGGGACCCTGACCAACTTTGTAGTCTGCCCCTTGGTTTGTACCACCTGTCAGACTTGGTAGACCCCTGTGGGGAAATTTCTGGAGCCAACAATGGGGTGGGAGAGGTGACGGGAAGGTTATGGGAAGAGCTCGATAAGTGAGGAGGCGCTACATTTAAGTAGTGTTTAGAATAAGTTGATATATAATAATACATTTTAAATGCTTCAAAAGACCAGTAATTAGTCCTAGCTTGCTTGATCTGTCTTAAAGACAAAAATGTGATAGTTTCTTGAAAAAACGAAATATATTTAAATTGAATCATAATACTTTATTTATAGGCCATAATTTACATACTCAAGTTGTATGATACTATGGCTGATGACCGGGAAGTACTACGCGAGGTTTGGGAAGGAAGAATTCCAGCATGTTTTGATTTGGCATCTGATGAAGTGACATCTCCAGAAACACCAGATCCATTCTTTGTAAGTACCAGCCAGGATTCCATAAGAGGGCCACGCCGTAAAGTATTTTACTTGCGCAGAAGATACATAGAAAAAAATTTGGGCACAGAATGTTATACATTGGTTTTATATTGAGAGATAGATCAAGGCCTTAATTTTTGGCAAAATTTGCGCAGAAATCGACCTTGATTTTTCGAAAAATGGACTGATTTTTAGGCCTAAAGTTTGAGCAGAGGATATATTCCCTGTTCACACCTTATTTTACAGTTGAATAGGGGGTGGGGGGTTTCCTGTGAGAGCCACCATGTAGGTTCCCGGGGAAGAGTTCATATTGGGTGAGGGGTGAAGCCACCAGAAGCTGTTAAGAATTCTATCCTGTAAATAGTTTGTTTTTGATTCTCATTCTGATGGTTTTTGATACAAGGAGAGGAGGTGATATTGTTTATCAGAGATCCTTAAACAAGATGTTGTCCTATTGAATAGAATGTTAATAGTGGTGTAATAATGTAGGACTTTTCTTCTTTTTTTTTTTGCAGCTTCTTTTACCAAGGCTCAGTTATCTAACGTTAGTTACCGAAAAAGTTCAGAAACATTTTAAGAAGCATACAGAATCTGAAGAAACAGACGAGATGTGGTTCGACTTTGAAGGCCAGCCGCTAAAATGGTAAACCTTCTCTGATACGATAACAAGAAGAAAACAGCATACTTTCCTATTAATGCAAAACAGCTACGGTTCAAATACACAAATATGCTGAAGCTCACTGCCGCCTTGCTTTTATCCATACAAAATCAGTATTTTGTGCTAAATATTTCTGAATGGAAATTGGTTACAATATTTATTATTATTTTTATTATTACTACTATTAT